ATTGTGAGTCTGTCTTGAGGAGGGTGTGACGGTTCCTGTACCTCCCTCAGTACCGGGACCTTTCTTTGGCTGGGTATCTGCCTCCCCACAGTGTGTGCCTTTCAGGATACATGAAGGAGGGTCTGTGCTGGGTTCAGGGTGGGGGTCTCTGCCTTCTAGCCACAAGTTTCCTGGTTCCTGTGGGTCCCCTGAGGTAGGCAGGGACATGTGATGGTAAAGGGGTCGGGCAGGGCTGGGACCCATCTGGGAGCTAGTAGGAGATATTGTTATGGAGACTGGGCCAGACTGGGCTGGGCTGGGGCTGGTCTAGGGAGAAAGGGTGGGCTCACCTGGGCTCTCAGTCGGGGGGCTTCTCTCTCCGGCTCTCCGGCCCTCCGGCCTTGGCCCTGACTCCCTTGCTGCTCCAGCCGCTGGCGCCGGATCCAGCTCCAGCTCCGGCTCTGCTGCTATTTATGGGGCCTGGATGGGGAGGGGTGGGGGGGCCGCAGCACCAGCTCCCCCCGCACAGACCGATTGGGAGGGAGAAGAGGGAAGGGGCAGGGCCACTGCCTGGGAGGGAGCCACAGAACCGGGGGAGGAGGGCGGGCTGGGAGGTGGCCCAGAGGCAGGACCCCCACAGACACAGTGACACACATCTTCCCCTTCACACCACACCCACATCCAGAATCACAGAGATGCATACATTGCAGTGGTGCGTGCACACACACACATTCACACAGATAAATGATGGCGACACAGGCACCCACGACTCACAGGCTCACACGTATCTTGACACGCACAGGCGCCGGCACATAAACTCACTGTGACACCATGACAATTACAGCCCCACCGATACACACTGGGAAGCACACCCAACCTCATAACACTTTCAACATGACTATGCTTGTGAAGGATATCTGCAGTCACATGTAAAAGAACACTGGGCTGTACTTGTCACACACACACACACACACACACACACACACACACACACACACACTCACTGTCACCAGCCCGGAATACAACAGAATGGAGCTCTTCACGTGCTCTTCAAAAACCCTCACGTACCTTGTGGAACGTCCTAGCTTTGAGAAGGATGTCCAATTCCCTAGCCACCTTTTTATAAGGTGGACACGATTGCTTAAGGACACACAGCCTCACATCTTGGTCATGCAACCCCTGAGGATAGGGCTGCACGGAGGGGTGTGTGCTGAAGGACTGACTCCCAAGGCATCTTCCTGGTGCCATGGTGTATCCGGCACCCCCCTGAGATTTGGCCCATATCGCCATATCCCTGTGGGAGGGGCTGTGCCACACACAGATCTTAAGGAAACAAGACAGATCATTCTTAGTGAGACCAGGGGGAAGTAGGTAATTGCCTGGTTGCAAGCCACACATGCAGGCACTTGGGCACGTGGTGATCTGGGATGAGCACGCAAGAGTGTTCACCAAGATACCTTCTCCCTCTATCCCTTTAGCTGATAGTATACTAATGTAGCGGTCATTTATTGAGCATCCCCTGGGTGTCGGGCACTGTGCCAGGTGCTGGGACTACCCGGGGGATTAAGACACAGCCTCTACCCCTAGAGGAGGCAGAGATGTATGGAACAGAGACACAGAGAGAGAGAGAGAGAGAGAGAGAGAGATGACAAGTCGATACACAAATGTGATTAAGTGTGACAGGTGCAAAATTGTGAACCTGCTCAGGATGCAGTGGGGCACACTAAGGGAGGGTTCACTTTGGATGAGTGGGGAAAGCTTCAGTAAGGACTTCATGGAGGAAGAAGCTTTTGAGTAGGGCCATGAATGCCAAGGTAGACTTTGTTAGGACACCATGGGAAACAATTCTATTTTTGACCTTCTTGCACCAAAGAGACTTCGGATCCGACTGCAACAACTTTGACCATCAAGGGTGTTACCAGGATAATGCAACACCACGTAATTCCACCTTTAGTGTGCATGCATGTGCACGCACACATACCCACACATCTCCCCAATCTTCCCCTAGTACACTGGAGTCTTTCAATCCCATCACACCCCCAAAGCTGGACAGATACAGTTTTGGTTTCTGTCATTTTGGTTCCTTTCTAGCCAGCTCAGCCCTGACTCTGTACACAGCACCTACCCTATCTTGGGGACGTGTCAGTCCCTTTCCTTGGGCAGATCTCTGTACTATCCCTTTCTCCTCTCAGAACCCTGCTTCATTCCTGTGTAATGTCCCTCACTTTTCCCCACCATAGTCAAGCTCTGGGGGCTTGTGGGAAGGAAACAGATGGGGGCAGTGAATGGGGAAGACAGCAGAGACTCGAGGCAGGCAGTGATTTTTTTTTTTTATTCTATACAAGTGGGGAGAGAGCTCCTGGGGATAGAGGGACAGAGATCTGCCCTCCCGGGGAGGAGAGAAGCCCCCACCCCAACGCTCTCTGCAGAGCAAGGCATTGAGAGCCTCCCTCTCTCCAGGTTGCTCCCTCTCTTCCGGTTCCCTGCCTCCTGCTGTCCCATGCCTGGTCCTGCCATCCTGCCCCTGTAGGACAGTGGCTGGCAGGAGGCCCTGGGGAAACAGGATGGATGGGGGTCTGAGTCCTTGTGAGGCACATGTCGCGAGGAGGGCTGGGAGGGTGTTGTGGCAGCTGTCAGTCTGTTCCCGGCTCACTGCTTCCTGCTGGGGACAAATCCAGGGAGCTCTGTTTCCTGGGCAGGGACAACCAACTACCTGGTGTTGGGGTTTGGGGGTGCCATGCTGGGCAGATGGGCAGGAAGGGAGATCCACCCTCCTACCACTGGCACCTGTGAGGTCAGGGGGTTGTCTTCTATCAGGCTCTAGCTTGTCACAGGACTGTGCCCGTCGTGTCCTTTTGGGCTTCAGAGGGGCAGTTCGGCGGCCTGGATCAGGGGGCCCTGAAATAAGTCAAGGCAGGCCTGGCACATGAGTGGGGCTCACAGGCCGGGGTGCTCATCCAGGCTGTGACTCCTGGTTGTCACTTATTCCAAGCCCCGGAAGAGGACCTAATGTGGGCAGTGAAGTCCCAGAGATGCCCCGAGAGCCCCCACTCAGCCAGGGTGGCAGACCTTGGACCTCAGGCTCCTCTTGGTCTTGCTGTGAGCCCAGCCTGAGCCGAGGTTTGTTGGCTCCGGGGGCTACACTCCCAGCCTCGGCCTCCTCCCTGCCCCCTGGCTCCTGGGGAGGCCGGCGGCCCCTGGGCACCACTACTGGCTTGGGGGGTCGTGGAGCTAAAGGGGGGTCCTGCAGCTGGCAGAGGAAAGAAAATGATGGGTCAATTAGTCCCTTTGCCTCATCAAAGTACCTTCCCTACCCACCTTGCCAGCCCTCACCTTGGCATTCCTAGCTGGAATTATCCTCTCCGGAAATAGGCCCCCCTCCTTCTCCTCCTCTCCATCTTGGGAGGCTGGGCTGGGGCTCTGGCAGCTGTGGTTGGGGGCACACTCCTCAGCTGGGGGATGGGGGAAAGGAGAAGCTGCAGGAACAGGCATTCTTTTTTGCATTGGAGTATCACTCTATCGCCCAGGCTGGAGTGTAGCGGCACAGCTCACGGCCTCCGCAGCCTCCACCTGCTGGACTCAGGTGATCCTTCCTCCTCAGCCTTCCAAGTAGCTGGAACCACAGGCACACACCACCATACCCGGCTAATCTTTTGATTTATCGTAGAGACAAAGGCTCGCCAAGTTGTTCTAGGCTCAGGCAATCCTCTCGCCTCAGCCTCCCAAAGTGCTGGGATTACAGGCGTGAGCCACCACGCCTGGCTTAGGAAGAGGCATTCTTGCATAGCCCTTCCTCTGCCTTCTCTCTCCAAGCAGCTCTGGGGGCCAGAACTTTCCCCTGCTCCAAGCCCATTTGCTCCCACATCTCTGCCTTTGATGTTCCCTCTACTCCCGCATTGTCTTTGGCCTTGGTCCTCAGACTCTGTCCCAAGACTATCACCTCTGGAGGGGGCTCAGGCCCAGCTGCCCCTCTTGCAGAGCAGTGCTGAGTCCTTTCCTGCTGGAGCAGAGCCAGAGCCCAGGGCCTGCTGGATCCACAGGCACGGCTGCCTATCCAAGGCTGCAGTGCCCCGGGGCCCTGCCAAGGCTGCAGCCTGGCATTCCGAGAAATCTGACAGTCTGATTTAGATGGAGAGGTGCCCTGGCATGCTTGTTTCCCTGCCCCTGTGGCTTTAAGCAGCACAAACCTGTGGGTATGCTGCCTGGAAGATGTTGTTTGTGTGTATAGCTATGAGGTGTGTGAGAGGGACCTGGAGGTGTGTGTGCAGTGGAGCAGCTGACTATTGCGGTTTCCTAAATGAGGGATGAACCCCTGCTTTAGGTGCTCTACCTAGTCTGTGTAGGGTATGGAGAAATCAGCAAAGATGCCCCCAGTGCTGGGTTGGCCTTGAAGGATGAGGCAAGGGCACAGGCACTGCCAAGTCTCAGGTCAGCCGAGCTCTGCACCATAGGGAGAGAGGGGCAGGGGCAGGCGGGATGGGAGTGGGCAATGGGAGGCATGCAGCCGAGCCAGACCCACCTGCTCAGTTCTCAGCTCTCCCCAGCTCTCACACCCTGAGTTAGAGGTGGGAGTGAGGAAGGTAAGGGGGTGTCCACATCTATAGGGAGATTTTGCCCGTGCTGAGATTGTTAGAGGGTCATATTCCAGGTCTTTGGGAACTTACATCGACACTGAGATGACCAGCTTTTCCTTAGTGGCTCCCTAAGCAGAAGGTGCTCAAACCTAGCAGAAGGGAAGTGCCATGCCTGGAATAACCCTTCTCCTCTTTATTCTTCCAGTCATAAAGCCAGAAAGTAAAGGACTTACGGTCATGGGTAGCTGAGCGGAACTCAGGGTTTTGACCTCCAGGGCAGACCTCTTGCCCCTTTTTTGGGGTGCCTTTCTGAGTGGGCTGAGGGCGAGTTGATGAGCTATTTTTGGAGGAGGCTGGTCCATCTGAGGTAGGCCTGGCACAGCTGGCAGTTTGATTTGCCCATCTCTTCCCAGCTAAGGTGCAGCAAGAAAACTTCCCTATAGACAGCGTCACTGTGCTGACGGTGACCTGAGCTGGCCCTTGTCCTAGAGAATTCACCAGTCATCCACCAAACATTGTTCCCGTCTGCTGACCCTGGCAAAGCCACTTTTATGTCGTAAAAACCTTTCTTTGGATTGGGTCGTCTGTCTCCTTTGGATGCAGCTTTGTAAATATCCTTAAACATTTCACTTTTGACTTCTCACTGTCCCACTTTGGTCATAGATTCCCCAACACAGGGGACATGGCTTCCATTTCTGTGGACACACCCTGGGCCTTCAGTACTGCTGCCTGAGAGGAGGCTTTCCATACCTATGTGCCATGTTGCCTCTGCTCGGCGCATGGCGCTGAAGCTCGGCTTGGTGCTCTGGGGTAGTGGCGGGGGCTTCCAGGCTCCAGGCCCTGGAGTGGAGGAAAAGGATGCAAAGGAGAATGGGAAAAGGCAAATTAGGATGGCCCCCTGAGACAGGGCTCAAAGGAAGGATGTGAGGGTAACCATCCTCACCTGAATCATCCGAAGAGCGCCGTTTCTGCCAGGCCAGGGCACTGCCCTCCAGATCTGAGCCTGTGCCCTGAAAGGACAGATGAGTCAGGTCATGAGAAAAGTCCCCTCCACGGGGCGACTGCAGCTGACAACAAGCTTTTGCTTTAGCATCTCCATGCTATTCTCATGTCATTAGTCCTTAAACACTGGGACCATGTTTCCTGAAGAGTAGCACCTGTACCACCCCAGGGGCACAAAAATGGTCTGCACAGATGAGCATACTATTATCTTCAGAGTTACATGTTTATTTTATGTGTAGTATGGAAAAAAAATGACTATTACAAAAAGCCCATGATTCTAAAGATGAAAATGCTTGGGTCCAGACTAAGTTTACAAAGGTGAGTTGATTTAAATAAAAACATCATATAAATAATAATACAGGTGGCACATGGAAAAGGTTAGAATCAGTCACAA